AAAGGCCCTATCGTTAAATATAGTCACAATCTGAGGTGCTGGGGGTGGGACTTCAAAATGTGAATTTTGAGGGGACACAACTCAACCCATGACAGCATGGTTGATTACCTTTCTTCCTCTTTAGGGAAGGAAAATGTGGAGATCCACAAATCCTCACTCATGGCACTGTGCAGTGCCACACGGTGCTGGTTTTTTAATCCGGAGAGATGTCCAACATGAACAAGTGCCTTTCTACAAATGTGCACTTTGTCTTAAAAATGTATTTTTCCATGGACCTTTGACCCCATGGCTCGCACTGCCCTGATTTTATGGGAAATGCACTGATGACTCCAATAAGAATGGGATCTCCGAGGAGCTTATGGTCCCACAGGACAGATCAGGCAAGTGCCCAGGGAAGGATGAAGAGGGAGGGAGTGATGGAAAGTGGTAAGTGCCCTAATGATGCATGGACCAAGCTGTGAGGCAGGGGTGCAGGGGAGGAGCGGGAGGAGGAAGAGGAGGAGGAGGAGGAGGAGGACAAATTGACTACCTAGGAGGGGTGTAGAGGAGCCTGGTGGGGACAGATTTGCCCCTCAGCTTGAGTGGTAGGTCCCCTGGCCCGGGCTGTTTGTATGCTTGCATACAAAGGGGATGGTGGTTTGGGGAGGGGAAGGTGGCGGCTACCACCATCTCCCCAAGGCCTGAGTTCCCAATCAATGTGGGCAAGAGAACTCACTCTGCAGGATCTAAGGTGCCCAAGCCACAGCGGAGAAGCAACTCCTCTCTCAAGCCCACAGCTGCCTGCAAAGGTACCCACTGTCCTCCTTTGTCCAGCCAGACCTCAGGCCCTCAGGCCTCTCCATTCCTGCTTTCCAGGCCACAGCAACACTCTGGATGACTCTGCCTGCCCGGGTTCTCCAACTGACCCCAGTGGCAGGAAACTGCAGGAGCTGCTAGGGGGTGGGACCACAGAGCCCCCTACTGAGACCACACAGAAGGCTTCCGTGGGACACCTGGGCTCCTATGTCCTAGTATTACCTGCAGGTTAAGAAATAATAATGACTAGAAATGGCAAAACTATAGTGATGTGAAGCAGACTGGTGGTTGCCAGAACCAGGGGTTGGTATTTTTTTCAAACGTCAATTATATTGTGGTATAAAAAATTATATTTCAATAAAGCTGACCCCTCTTCCAAATAAATAAATAATACCATGTTGAAACTTGGTGAAGCAAATGTTAATTATTGCTTATCTAACCATTTTTCCTCTCCCCACTTCCTTGCAACCAGAGGTCACCTCTTGCTATAAACAAGGCGGAAAATACCAGAGACTTGCTTTCTCATTCTTCACTGGGTATGGGTATGGACATGTTTCTCTCCAGTGAGACTCGATGGAAATTCCAGCAAAGGAATTCTGGGAAAGATTTCCCTCCCTGACAAATTAAGATGGACAAGAAGAAGCTCACCTACCTGTCTGTCTTTGGATACAGTTGCATGAGAATGTGATGCCTGCTGCAGTGGCAGCCATGCTATGAGCATGAGGGGACAAGCCTGAGAACAAAGGCCAATATGCTGAAGATAGCAGCCCAGATGGTTAGAATGAGTCTGTGAAATTATCACTGACCCACTGAATTAACCCAACTCCAGAACTTCCACCTTTAGACTCTGGCTATGTGAGTTGAAACACCTTGTTTTTAAAGCCACTCTTAGTCTCCTATTCTTTTATCTGTAGCCAATAACATCCTACAAGTGAAACAGTTTTCATCTCTACATACTTCTACCCCCAACCCCCAAACTGAGATCACGGTGAGATACCAGATAGAAACTTACGGCTGTAAGCGGAGCCCCACCTGAATGCTGAGTCCACAGTCCCCAGAGATAATGCTGTCCCCCAGCCTTTAAGCAAAGTGGGGAAACAGATGCCCATTTCTCTTGTGTGTGAGCACTTCCCCGTCACCCCACGTGCAGGATCAATGACTGGTAATAGTGTCTGATGTGACTCACATGCATACACTGTCCCCTGCTGGTGCATCCATAAGCCCCCACTTGCCCAGGACAATCTCAGTTTTCACGTGTGTCCCAGAATGATTATGCATCTGAACAAAAAAATTTAGCCACCCCCCTCCTGGCTGCCTCAGCACCCTTTGTGTTCCCCTGACCCAGTGCTCACCACGCTACGCTAACATAAGGCTGTTCCGGCCTCCCCACGGGGATGGGAAGGCAGGAGGCAGGGACCCTGCCAGGTTCACGCCAATTCAGCTCGCCTGGTTCACAGAGCCTGACCCACAGCAGATGCCTGATGCAAGCTGCTAAACGGAACCAAATGTTGACAGGGTAAGAGCCTTACGCAGAAAGGATTAAGGCAAACCAATAGAATGTGGGCATAAGAAACAACTTTTGGAGGGAGAAGGGAATTTGGGTGCTTTCCCAGGATCCCTGACCCTCACCCCTGGCCCTGCTGGCACAGGTTCCTGCAGAAAAGTGGCAGAGCACATCCAGGCATCCAGCTGTCTGATGCAACCTCGCTGCAAAGGCAACTCGTGCTCTTCATCACCTGACGTGGCACGTGGTGAATGTACGGCCCACAGAGATGCCAACCACCCTGTGGATGCGGGGAGACGGAGGAGCAGAACACCTTGTCGCTTCTTCCTGAGAGCACCCAGGGCACTGCAGACAGACACCAAGGGACAGACGAACCATATGCTCCAAAACACACTTTGTCAACACCATCTTGTTCGGTGACACATCAAGATATGAATTCTCTAAGCAGGTCGCTTTCTCCACCTCATGGTTCAAACTCGTAAGTGTTTCAGCAAATGCCCCAAGAGTATGGCAAAGGCCTGTGGGTTCCTGGCTAGCGGTGAGATCAGGACACCGCCTACCCCAAGGGAAGGCCCTATAAGGAAACAGCATGGGGAATGTGTCCGCTCCACCCACTTGGGATGGAACCACACACATTCTTTCTGAATAACTTCAGGGCTCCATCGTCACAACCACGGCTCTGCCTCTCTGTCTCTGTCTCCCTCACAGAAGTTACTTTCATTTATTGAGGCATACAGACAGCGCCTAGCACCGTGCCTGGCATGCAATAGGCACGCAATAAACGTCAGCTCCCTGCGTTCGATTAGCAAGTTGCTTACTTAGAAGCTGAGATGAATTCCGGGCATTGGAGGAAGGAACTTGCAGCGTGTGCTGTGGCTTCTCTCATGATCATCTGAAAAGCACTGAGCCAAAGCTTCTCAAAACCTCCCCAGCACAGACTGCGCGTATGCAGCCGGCTCAGCTAACCTCGCCTCTACTTTCAAAAGCTCCCTCTGTGCTAAGAAAGTGAGGACAGACGTTGGCTGGGTTCTCGCTGAATCTGAGCTCGACAGATTGAGGCCCTTCTAGCAAAAGCACGCAGGACGGTGAAGGGTCTTAAAACCATCTCTCGGGACAGCTGCAGGGGCGATGGGTGGAAGTGGCTGAAAGCTGGCCAAGCTTCGACACAAGACCTTTGCAGCTCCCACGGCCTTCTCGCAAGGGAAGGAGCCCCTTCACAGGCGGGGACCGCCCAGCCAGAGGAGGCCAGAGGATGCCCACACCAGGCCGAGGGTTGACGAGGTGACCCCTAAGGTGTCTCCCAAGTTTGAAACTGTAGGAACTAAAGGCTCTGGGCAAGGGGACAACAACGTGGTGTGTGGTCTGTAGGATCAATAGCGGCTGGAATCTGCATAGGACACCCTCGTGGGGACCCGGAAGAAGCCTCACCCATAAGAACCTGACCTGAGTATGAGGCAGGGGAGAATGAACGTTCTGGGCTTCCCAGACAGGGCTCATCTGCGGGTTTTTGTGAAGAGACACAAGCCCCAGGGCAGGGATAGTCCTCCACAGCTGGCTGTGCTGCTGTCTCTAAGATTGTTTCAAAAAGTTCCCACCAAGGGCACTTTCTCTTCTCTCTCCTCACTCGCTCATCTACCCTGCCCTGGCCATGATACGTCTCTCTAACAAAAACACCCAGAATCTTCCAAGGTCCCTGAGGACCTAGAGCCCACAGTCGGAGGATCCTGGTCCCCAAGACTTCATGTGCTAATTTCTCTTCTGCGGGGTCTCCTGGACCACATGTCTAGTGGACATCCAAAGCCATAACAGGCCCGAGGTCTTGAATTTTCAGGGACCTCCCATTCAGATCAAGACATTCCCCAATCCCCCGAACACCAATGGGCTGGCATCTCGTCCATCCTTCCTCCAAGCACGCAAACCTTTGCTGGTCACGTTTAAGGCAGGGATCTTAATTCCAACTCCTGGTCTCATCTCTAGTTTTAGAGGGGACATTGTCAGGACTCAACCCCTTGGGTGTTGAGACTGTAACCACCCCTCAACTCCTCTCCCGCCCGCCAGGCCCGGCCGGTCATCAGCTGAGCTCACCCTCCCGGCCGGGTTTTGAGATCCCTGGGGATTTCCCTTACATGCTACGAGCTCAGCTCTTCTTTGAAAGCATGCTAGTTACAGCTTATACAGCGTTTCTAGGTACTTTGTCCTTGGAAGGTTTTCAAGATTTTTACTCCGCTGTGGTACTAAAAGTATTCTAAATCAGTGTTGGGAGGCCCCCTTTGGACTTGTTCATAGAAACCTTCCCTGGCTGACCCCCACCCCCCACCCCAGACAACTAAATCTGGCCACATCCCTGCACATCCACAAACACAGACTGAACACTTACTATGTGCCAGGCACTACTGTCAGTCCAGAGGATTCTAACAGGAAAAGACTGGACCTCTGCCTAAAACACATCAGCTCTGTAAAAATCTGCAGAACACCAGTATCTGCAGCATGCTATCAATATTTAATTTGCATTCTACTCTTTCCCTATATGTTATAGCTTTTTAGTGGGTTCATGTGTTCACGTCTCGTCTCCCCAAATAGACTGCCTGCTCCTGGAAGCCAGATCGTGGTCTTCCTGCCCAGCATTCACACCCCAAGGGCCTGGGACAGGGCTCTGCTCACTGTAGATGTTAAAAAACGAAATGCCTCTCCCCTTACTCACTCTAATGTTTCCAGCTGAAGCTCGCTCTTGGCTGTCGCTGGATTCTGCCAGCTGGGCCTCCAGCATGACACAGCATCCCCGCCTGGCTTCCCTGACGACAGCACCCGGCATGACAAAGGATTCTCTGACAATGGGAGGAAGAGGTCTGCTCTCATTGTCTGTAGCAGCCACCACAGTCACGCTCAGCACTCCCAGAACCGTAGCTCGGCCCACACTTCTGCAGGCTCTACCTTGTGCATTGCATTGTCTGTAAGGCAGCGCCATCCAGCTATGCTGCCAGCAACTCAGATGCAATGCCTGCAGCACTGAACGCACCAGTCTTCCTTCCCACCCCAACCACAGCAGTCCCACTCCCACCCTGGTGATGGGCTGCCAACCACCCGGTCAGCGAGGGCGGAGACCTAGGAGTTACTGGGACTCCTCCCTTGTCACCAAGTCTAATCAATCATTGCAGACTTTACTCTCGAATATTTTTAATGTATGACGTTCAGTCCAGCCTTTGGTGCACAGCCCTGGTCCCAGGCCTCATCCCCTGAGACCTGGATGCCACATGGAGGCTGTTACTGCTCCCCTTCATGTTCCCTTCTGACCCATGGCTGCACACCTCGCCTCTGCTTAAAGCCCTTCCTCCGTGCCTTACCTGCCAGGCTGAAAGCCAAGGTCTGATGCCAAGCTCACAAAGTTCCTCAGCGCTGAGCGCTGTCTGTCTCTCCGCCCTTGCATTTGACCTCACTGCTTGTGGTTCCTTCCTACACCCAGGCAGCCTCACCACTCCACACCTGCGTGTGCACCATTCCTGCTCCCTGATGCCCATCTCCTGCCTAGTTCCTCTCGTCCATGAAGACTCAGCCCCTAGCTGTTTCCTTTAGGAAGCCCCCTCTCTGATCCCTGAGGCCAGGACGGGTGCTCCTTGTCCCTGCTGCTGTAAGGCCCTCAGCCTCCTCTCCCACTGCGTTCCCCACACCCCAGTGAACAGAGAGCAGGTGTCTGTGTCTCCCACTAGACAGTGGGCTCCTTGAAGACAGGGGACTGACTGTACCTGTCCCCTGCTGTAGCCCCAGGGCCTAGTGCAGAGCCAGGCATCAAAACACACCCCAGTGACTTCTGAGAAGCTCCTACTGATCACAGATATTCAAGCAAACCTCGTAGGTCTGATCCACCCCTACCCCAAGCACACAGTCTCCCCTTAACCACTTCTGAGCCAGTGCCCCAGCCTAAAACTTCCTCCATCACTACCCCATACCTACTACCAAGTTCACCTCTTCCATGAAATCATCCCATACTGGCCCCACTCTACGTACTGTTGCTATGGTAACTGTCCTTCATACTTTATGTGCCCCACCCCCCGGGTAAGTTAGCATTTGGGTCTGGCTGAATATGAGTCCACGGTAGATACAAAGAAACTCCAAAAAGTTCAAGGCCGTCCACTCACAAAATCATACTGATGATGTCAGACAGTAAGCCCCCTCGGCCCTGAGCACTGGATGTGAAGTCTAAAGTCAGGGTTCAGATCCCTGTTCTACCACCTACTCGTGGTAGACTTGGGCATGCCACTAACCACAGAGGCTCAGCTTCCTCATCCACAAAATGGGGACAATGGTAACAACCTATTGTAAAAGGCAGAAGGAATAATTGTGGGAAATACTTCGCAAATTGTAAAGCCAAATCAAGTGTCGGGTATTCTAATAGTCCCCAGTGCAATCAATCTACTGTCCTCCTTCCCACCAGGACTTTTGCCTTTACTTAGTCAGTTGAGAATCAAATGAAATCTGAGGATCCTCTTTCTAGAAAAATGCACATACGTATCAGCTTTGCAGACACTTCCAGGAGGTTCCTGAGGACCCTGCCACAAGGCCAGAAGGCCACAGACCAAACTGAAGAGTGCTGGAAGACCCCAAGCTTACCATCTCTCCCAAACGCATGCCCTCATTTGTTCCTGGACACCAAAGATGAAAATGAAGCAGGAAAGGCCAGTCTTGAAGGAAAGCAAAACCAAAACTAAAAAATTACTCCAGAGCCTTTGCTAGTACCAGAAGAAGGGAGAGAAGAAGATGGGCAGTTCTCACTCTTTGGGAAGTAACAATGCAACTTTTTTCGGAAAGCATCATATAGTATAGAGAAAGAAGATTGGACGAGATCTCAAATTCCAGGATTTCTGTCCCACTATGCCAAGGGCTCACTGTGACCTTGGGCAAGTCATTCCACTTCTCTAGGCCTTCAGGTCTTCACATGGAGATCAGATTATCTGCAAGCCCCCTCCCCCCGCCCCCCAGCTCTGGGTGCCTAGGATCCAAGGATATGTCTGTTCTCATCCTGTTCTAAACCACTGCTCTGGCCTGGGTTGAATTCAGAAATAGGAGGCAGATGTTGACAAGGCAGGGTGGTAATGCAGGGGGAAGGCCACTTTTACTGAGTGGTTCTAAATTAAACTGAGTGCAGAGGGAGGGAGGAGGGCAGAAGAAAATCCAAGCCTGCAAGTGAGCAGCTGGGCTCTGGGTACCCACGAGTCAGCAGTGGGGGCCCAGAGGTAGGGGATCCCTCACCCCACCCCCACCCCAAGAACATCAAAAAATGGCTGCCATCTTATCAGGTAAGTTATGCAGAAACGCCATCATATTTGGAGAATGCTCACAAACTGCAATTTGCCTGTGTGTCTGTATGTCTGGTTATTTATCTGGGCTCAGAATTCTCTCTCCATCCTCACCACCCATCTCCTGCTTCCTCCTTCATGATCTGAACTGCAAACAACATAACCTTAAAACAAGGGCAGTGGAGTCCAAAACTGAAATGACATTAGAGGACAACTTCAGGGCCTTCAGAGTAAGTATGAGAATAGATAAAAAGCAGACCCGTATCATAACATCTACACAGACCTGGAAGACAGAAACCTCTATACCCAGGCTGGGCCTGAGCAAGACCTTGACCAAAGCCATGGCCTCACTGAAACACAGCACGTCAGAGCTGGGCGGGGACCTCAGAGAACACCTCCTCAGCTCCAAGTGCTAAGCAGAACCTGTTGGTTGGCTTCAGGGTAATTTTCCCACCAGCTGCCTAACTTTACATGACAGAACTCTGGGCACTCTTGGAAGGTTCCAAATAGCCTGAATGAAGTTCAAGGTAACAAGGGATATAAGGATCTTCCCCCACACCCTTGCTTCCTTCTGCATTTGCTCTAGGATAAGAACTGGCATTATGGGCAGCTTGCAACCTACATATGTGAAATTGACTAGGTTACAGGGTGAGTGCTTTAAAATGTTTACCATTTGTTCCCTCCTCTGTTATTGCATTGTAACTTAACTGTTACTACTTATACTATCTTTCTGTGCCCCAAACACAGTAGAACACCTAGCCTAAGGTATATGCTTGGTAAACATTTCCTGGACTTAATGTAACATTTGTTAAATTTTCTTTATCTACACTTCTAGATACACAAACATGTAGGTGCCCGATACATATTTGTGAAGGATTAGCTGGACAAACTTAATAACCCTCCAGGCAATGCCTGAAAACCTTCAAGTACATAAATGCTGAGAAATACAGACAGGCATGTACAAGCTGTTTGTTCTATTCTGGGCTTCCTCATCCTTAGAGAAGGAGGGGGACAGAGTATCTAACCTGGGATGGTTTTTCAGGGGTCCACATTTTAAATCTAATGGCTTTGAAACCAGTAGCTAAAGGACAAACCTTGGATTCAATAAGGATTCTGCACGAACACACCCATACAAACACGGGCACCGGAATACCATAGGAATGTGTTACATGCAGGCACGATTCTGGTATATACTGGATGTATCACAGCTGATATCTATTCACCAAGAGCAAATTATTAAATGGGTGATAATTAGAGTCATGCAGACTTCTGTTCTTTAATGGCTAGTCTCATCAGGAACTGTTAGCGAACTAGAAGTGTTCTGAAAAAGAATAAGCAAGCATAATTTATCCCCTTTTCTTGGGTTCAGTACCGCTCAGGTGTCAAGAATCCATTCTCAAAAAAAGTGGCCACCATTTAAATAAAAAGCCATAGGCTGAGAAGAGAAATCAGAGGGGGAATGTAGCCCTTCCCTTACTGAGAGGCCGTAAGCAAGTCACATCACTTCTTGGCCCTCGGTGTGCTCACCTGTAAGATGGGGTTAATTCTCTCCTTCCTGCCTCACTGGACCTTCTTAATAAGTGCTATAATACTTGAAAAACAAACCTGCCCTGTAAGGTCATACAAACGTATTATTATTCTAGCAATCTGTTAATCACTGATGACACTGTACCCCGGAACGTGTCACAAAATTACTGCCTCTGAGCAGACATTATCCAGGACAGACACTTGACACACAGGTGAGACGATCTGTGTGTCAACCGAGTCCTGTTTCCAACACTCCCCCAGAGGGAGTTTCCTCAGGCAACCCGAGTGCGTCCTGGCCATCGTCGAGCTCGGCGCAGTCTGTTCCCGTGTAATTGGGTTTTCTTGAAGGCCAGGCAATTTCCTCGCGCGGCCGGAGCCAGCTCGGAGCCGGGATTCCTGAGGTTTTCGGCCCAGACCCCGCTCCGGGCAGGAGGAGCTGGGCCGGACGGCAGGCGGCCCCTCCCGCGCTCTGGGCGGCTCCTTCCTCTCCCCCAGCCCCGGCGGCCGCAGCCCTCGCGCGGTGTCACTTTCGCCGCCGCCGCGCCCGCAGCTCCGGCCGCTTCCTCCCGGCCGCGCCGGCCCGAGGCCCGAGACAATCCCCGGCCGCGGAGACAGAGCGCCGGGCGGGCGGGCGGGCGGCCCGGCTTCGGGCGGCGGCCCGGGCGGCAGCAGCGGGCTGGGCCTGGGCTGGGGCGGCCAGGCAACCTGCGGCTCCCACTGCCCCCAGACTGAAGAATTGGGGGCTCAGGGGTCGCCGCGCGCGCTCCTCTCCAGGGTCCGGGAAGGCGGCGGCGGCGGCGCGCGCGGGCACGCACACCCACGGAGCGCCTCGGAGTGCAAGGGTCAGCCCCGGCGTGTCCGGGGGGCGGCGACACGCGCGCGCCCGCGGCTCCTCCCCGCCCAGCCAGCCCAGGCCCTGGGGCCGCCGGGTAGGAGGCCGGGCGGCCCGGTCAGGGGCGTCGGGGACGCGGAGGAAGGGGCCGCGTGACTCCCGCCGCGCGGCGGGTCCGGGACTCCGCGCGGATGACAAGCACAAGCGACCCAGGGTCTCCCCGCGCCCATACCGCAGAATCCCCTCTCCAAGTAACCCGGACGCGCGCGCGGGAACACACGACCCCAGCTAGAACCGCAAGGGAGCTGGCGGGACCGGTCCTGCGGGGTCTGTGGGCCCACGGGCGTCCCCACTATGCCGCGGTCTGCGGTCCCCGCCCCCCACACACGCCAGAGCGGTGTGTACACACAGACAGCGGGGCGGGGGAGGCGACGCCTCACTCCTAGGGGTGGGAACGCACACAGCGCCACCAGCCATCCCTCTCCTCTACGCGCCGAATGCCCCTCCCTGCTTGCAGCCCCCCCCTCCAGCCCCAACCCTGAAACTCCGCGGAACCAAACAGAGCCAACGCCGCCCAGATAAGGGGCTCGGATCCCCGATTGTCTCTTAACATCAATGGAGAAATACCCGGCTCAAACGCGCGGTCCCTGGGACGCCCCCTCCGGTTGCATCCAGGCACGGGCACGCGGTCCTCGGAGGCCCCAGACCTCCGCGGCAGCCCAAGCCCCCGCGCCCCGCCGGCCCTCCCCCACGACCGGCGCCCGGGACAGTCACCTGCTCGTCGTCCTGGCGAACTCTAGCCGGAGCCCACCCCACGGCCGCTCGGGTCACTCGCCACCGAGAGCTGGCTTTTCAGAGCCTGTCAACTTAACCCCTGCTCTGCCGGGCAGATCTATTCCCCAGGCCGGGATTACACCGCGGTGACGGGAATAATAAAAAAGACAACAAAATCACAAGCGTGGGGAATGGCCAAAGGTGAGACCGCAATGGGTCCACCAATTGGTTTCTTCCTCTGCTCCCATCCCCCGCGCCCCCCGCGGCCCGCAGGCTCACCAGGGACGGAGGGAGGGGGCTGCACCCTGTCTAGACGACGGCCATCCACAGACATCCCCGAGCCCGCGGGGACGGGTGCAGACACACACGCGCGCGCGCTCGCTGCCACAGACACAATCAGTCACCAGGGGAGGGAGGGGCGGCGTGCAGACACACTCTCTGGGTCCCTCCGGCTGCCTGGAGCGCTGCAGCCCCGGCCCGAGACGCGCTCCTACCTCAGCGGAGCGCAGTCAGAACAGCTGCAAGTTTGGCTGGTACTAAACCAACTGCTCGATGCAGCAAATGCGGGCTTCAAAACAAAAGGGACAGGCATCACGCTCGCTCCCTTCCTCCCCCCAGGTCGGAACCCGGCACATGACAGCGGCTACACAGCGCAGCTCCAACGCGAGCCGGGCTCCTGCCGTGCGCCCCCCAAGAACCTCCCTGGGCGCCGGGGCTCCAGGGCCACAGCTCCCCACGGAGCGCAGAACGCGGCAGGGAACGGGACAAGCCCAGGGAGGGGGCGAGACTGGCGTGCAGTCCCCCACAGAGGGGGGGAGGGGGCGGTGGATGGGTGCGGACAGCCCGCTGGCAGAGGCGCAGGGAGGGGGAAGGGGGTAATTGTTTGGGGCGGTTTTCCCGGATTTCTCTGTAAGCACGCGCACGTCACGCAGCCCTCCCCCCGAGTCCTCGGATCGATCGGCAAGCTGGGATGACTAAAAGAGGAGGACGGACGAGGGGATGCTCACCTCGGGGTTCCTCTGGCCGCTGCGCGGAGCCGGAGTCAGGGGTGGGGGAAGGGGGCAGGGAAGGGGAAGGGAGGGACGAGGCTCTGGATTGCCGACTCCTGCCTCGAGTTCGGCGCGTCCCAGCAGCGGAGGGGACCCGGCGCCCGGGCGCAAAGACCCAGCCGAGAGGGGAGGGAGGGAGGGAAGGGAAAGAGGGAGGGAGGGGCGGGTAGGGGGAGGGAGTAAAGGAAGGAAAAAAAATGTTCGCGGATCTGACACAGGGAAAGAGACTGTAGGAGAGTGACGTCCAGGCCCCGCCTTCCCCTCCGGCCACGTGCAAAGACTTGAAAGGGAAGAGGGAGGCGGGAGGCCTGCTGGGTAATGTAGTTCGCCTTTCTTCCCCAGGATGGCGGGCCCGGGAGAGCGGGGTGGCCAGGGGACGCTGGGGTTGCCAGCTGAGCCGCCGAGATAGCCCAGTCCAGCGACGCCGAAACCCTCCCCCGCCACGACTCCACGGTGCTGGCGCAGCCCGGGGCGGGCACCTCTGCGGTGGGAGAAGTGGGGGCTTCGGCGCAGTCCAAGCTAACGGAAAGCGTTTGGTTTTAGAGTCAGAAAGGCTTTAAAGATGAGGGCTTCCTTACTTAAAGTGCAAAATCCGTCCTAATGGCAGATAAAAGGGAGCTTTGTGTATGCACTGGGGGCCCGAGTGGCGTAATTAATGCTACATTAAATGCCATGCTCGCTTATTGAGATGCATAAGTTATAATTAACATTTGAGCATCTCTGTGGCAGGGGCGGGATGTTGTAATTAGATATGCACTTTGCAACCAATTAATTTTCCTTTGGCCAAGCTAAGGGCTGGGGCATGGTAGCTGGAAGAATTCAATGCAGTGGATAATTCAGTAATCACTTAACCAGATCACCAATGTTTTGGTTAAAACTGAACTTGGAAAACCAGCACCACATGTACTCACCAGCAAATTGGTATTAACGGATCAACACCTAAGTGGACATATAGGAGTAACACTTATCGGGTGTCGGGAGGGTGGGAGGGGGGAGGAGGGGATGGGTATATACAACCAAACGAGTAAGATGTGCAACGTTTGGCGGATGGACACGCTTGAAGCTCTTACTCGAGGGGGGAGGAGGAGCATGGGCAATATAAGTAACCTTAACACTTGTACCCCCATAATACGCTAAAATAAAAAATTTAAAAAAAAAAACTGAACTTGGCACAGAGAGGCCTCCAGGAGAAATACTATATAAAATGCTGTGTGTCCCACCAAGCAAGAGAGTGAGAAACTTATTGCAGGAACTGTATGACACAGTATAACTGCTGTAGAAATCCATTTATTAATTCATATAACATTTGGTAAGCCCTTTCCACAGATCAGGCACGTCTGGGAATGCTAAGACAGGTAAGACCCTCAGTCTAGCACAGGAACCACGGTCAATGAAAGTGCTGTATGGGGGATAAGTCAATACTTAACATAAGATGAGCCCAAGGTGCTATGGACCACCCCACCCCCACCCCATGCCCCGCCCCCCAACCCTGAGCAGCCAAACAGGATGCAGGGTAGATGGAAGTGAGAGAGGGTCAGGAAGGCTTCCTGGAGGAAGTGGTAGTTGAGCAAGGAATTTCTAAGATTTTTAACAAAGGCTAAGGAAGGGGTTAGGGATCTCATTAAGGCTACAGGATACAAAGTCTCCAGATGAGAGAGAAGAAAACTAATTCAAACGGTCCCAGCAATTTGGCAGGGAAGAAAGAGACAGATTGGGGGTGGAGGAGCAGCCAAGGAGAGGGAGGGATGGTGGCTGGAGGGAGAGTCTAGAGGGCAGATGGAGCCTGGGATGGTTTCCCAGAAGAGGTGGGGCTGACTGTGGGTGGGCCTTAAAGGACAGAGGGAATTTTGTTTTGGGTAGAGAGCTCATCTTGGAGGCATGGGCCAAGTCTTAGGAAGAAAGCAAAGCAGCACCCCTTCTAGAGTGAGGTGCAGGCCCAGAGACTAAGCAACTCATCCACAGTCATGACTGGTAAGAGGCAGAATGGGTACCAGCAGCCAGTTGTCTAGGTGCCAGGCTCAGTCTCTTCCCCAACCCCGAAAAGGACCATGTTTGAGCACACCTGACACTTCCCGATGGTTTGTCCTTCTTAGCATTTACACCTCATTGGTTCAGCAGTGAGTTATTTTTGTGCTTTAACATCTGGACAATTTCTTGGGTTTCCAAAATATTAAATAATAGTACAGGAGTCTATCCATTCAGCAAATTCTCATTTACTTACCTTACTGTCAATGTTGGGTTTGCACATTATGTGACAGGCATGCCACCTGCAAAGGAAACGAGAGGAGAATTGTCTGGTTCTTGGCTTTGCTTTTGCTTTAAATTACACCGCCACAGGTGGGGAGAGGCTGACAATGTGCAGAATGGAAACATCCATGGAGAGCACACACCTCTGTCTGGGGCATCTGCCTGGGGTCAGAGAGCAGTGGGGACAACGGGCTCTGGGGTCAGCCTGAACCCTGGGGTTGAATCCCAGGCATGATACTTCCTGACTCTGCGACCTTGGGCAGCTTACTTAACCTCCAAATGGATGACCTTGTGTGGCTTACTCAACTGCTTTTCTCGGCCTTGTGAGAACCAATGGTGATAAGGTATTCAAACTGGCTCTGTCATATGGAAAGTGCTCAACTTTGATTCCCTTTCTTGTCCCAGGTCTTTCTGGCTCACGAGAATAATCCTGGAGTTTTTCTTTCTGCCGACTCACACCAGTAGAGCTGGTGGTGCAGGAATGGTTCTTCAGGGTGATTCATCTTAATGTGTGACATAAGTTAGGCTTGTCTTCAAGGAGGCCTG